CCCCCATGGAGCTGTTGTTGAACCTTCAGAGGAACCTTAAAAGAATCCTGAAACCATCTACAACCCCTAAGCCCTAAACCCTAAACCCTAAACCGTTAAAGGAACCCTATAAACCCTGAACCCTATACACCCAAGACCCTTAAAGGAACTCTATAAACCCTGCTAAACTCTGCTTTGCAACCAAGGAGAGCAGTCCCTAATCTGCCAGCTCCATGCCTCCTAAACCCTAAACCCTAAACTTTGCAATTCTGGTAGGATGTAGAGTTTAGGGCCGGGTTATAGAAAACCGCGGATTTCGGCTTCGGGTGGGTTTAAGGTGTAGGGTTTGGGGTTTAGGATAGTTGTTGGCAACCCAGAAAGATTAGAGCAGGCTTACTCAGAAACAGCAAGTATGGAGAATATGCAGCGAAACAGATAGAAACAGACAACCCCCAAACCTTAAACCGCTGAACCTTCCGGACGGTTTTCGGGTTTGACAGGCTCTTCCTGGGTCTAGACCTAAACCCTAAACCCTAAACCCTAAGTCTAGAGGTTGGAGTTAGGGGCGAACACGAACGCCAACTCCAAGGTTTGAGGCTTAAGATCCATAAACCCTAAACCCGAGAGCCTAAAGTCTGAAGCCTAAACCAAAAACCTTAAACCATATACACCCTAAACCATGTAGCCCAAATCATAAACCCTGAACCGTAAAGCCTAAACCATAAGCCCTAAACCATAAAGCCCTGAAGCCTAAAGCCCGAACCCTAAACCCTCAACCCCAGCAGGGTTGAGGGACTCAAAGTTCCGGTTGCGAAGGTAACCCTCCGAAAGCAACGGTCAAGTCTGACAATGTCCTATCGATACCCTTAGGGTTTGGAGATTAGGGTTTAGGGTGCTATCAAACTGCAGGAACTGGGCTGAACCTCAATCCCAAAACACTAAACCCTCCACCTCTTACTCTGGGAGAATGGATATACGATAGGGGCCCTAACAATTAGTATAGGGTTTTGGGGTCCTTTGTACTATAACTATAGTAAGGAAACACCAAAATAGTATGGGTAATTAGTAAGGCCCCTACATTACTTAGCTGTCCGGACTTCTTGGGCGATTCAATGATGCTGTTTGGGCTCGCCTAGACTCCAAACCTTTCAACTAATATAGGGGCCTTAATATTTAGAATGATACTATAACTATAAAAAGGAGCCCCCAAAATAGTACTAGTAATTATTGAGACCTCTATACTAAACACCAAGCCTTTCAACGGTTTAGGGGGCGTGGGCCGTGTGCGTTGTGGGGACCCAAAATGGGTTCGGGTGCCCAGAGCGTGCTGCCAGACTTCTGAGACTTTGCGTACTTGCTTCTTCACGGTGTCCGTGGAAAGATTTCCAAAATGTACACCTCAATACTGATGACCCTTTCCTACAGTGCTGATCCGCATTCTCGGGAAATCGTGCCCTAAACCACAAATGCGGTATAGATGAAAGGCCGCTGCCCACTGCATACACAAAAACATCTGCACAACCCTGAACCCTAAACCCCTAAACCCCCAAACCCTAAACCCCTAAACCCTAAACCCTAAAGTTCAAGACCTCAATCCCTGGACCTAGTAAAGCGGCCCTGATAATTAAACGGGGTTTTTGTACTCAAGTTACGATATTCCTTATTAAACTAGCTTTTCGTGATAAAGTTACGATATTCCCATGATTTCGTAGGGGCTTCAGGGGACAGCATGACCAACTAATGTGTCCTATGTTACGCTGACAAGGGCATGATCCCCTCAGTACGGCAGTTCAGCAAGAGCTGACACTTCTTCTGCCTGCACCGGATGACATGGGTTTGGGGACCGGGGTGTAGGGTATATGTGATCGAACTCTTCGCCTTCAAACATCCCTAAACCCTAAACCCAAACCAGCATCTTGAGTTCTCAAGGCCGCAAGGTGCGTAATGTACAGGCCTTAATATTCAAACAGCTGTTTCGAGGTACAGCATACAATATAGCACAAAAAGCAGCACTAAGGGATGGTGTTGCTAACTATTCGAGCTTCTCAATTAAGCCTGCGGCGCAACTGCGCGGACTTAGGATTTGCTTGCAATTTAGCGGGGGTTTTAAGGTTTCTGGTTCAGGGTTCACGGTTCCGGGTTTAGTAATTTAGGGTTTAGGGTTTGGGGTGTTTAGGGTTTAGGGTTTAGGGGTTTAGGGTTTAGGGTTTTTAGGGTTTTTAGGGTTTAGGGTTTAGGGCGCTTAGGGTGTTTAGGGTTTAGGGCGCTTAGGGCCCTTAGGGTTGAGGGTTTTCACGGACCTCAAAGATGAGCCCAATGTGGGAGTTTCCGAAAATTAGGGTACCTTATTTGGGGGTCCTTATAATAAGGATCCTACTATTTAGGGTACTATGTTAGGGTCCCCTATTTTCGGAAACCCCAATGTAAA